ACACGGTTTTAACGTGCGTCTACCTTGTTTTACCTTTTTCTTGTTTCAGATTTGGAAGGGCTCCACAAATGGACGATCATTTTACGTATGGTAAGAGCCTTTGAAATTTAACCAGCTATTTGCTTCGCAGGCACAACCAGCTGTCGACCTGACGTGGCGTGACAGGTCCACTGTTGCCAACAGTCGAGCCGACCTGATAGGCACTAACTTCCTTGTGCTTGCCTACCGGCGTGCCCACAGGCACTATTGTGTTCACAGTGCGGACACAAGTTCTGCTTTGGGGGGGGGGGGCGATAACTGTTTGAAACTGTTTGAAAATGAAGCCTGACACCTTTTAGCGTGTATAGAATCTCCTCCAACTTTCTGCAGGTCCTCGCCGAGGCCCGTGTGTGGTCTGTGGCCAGGCTGGTACTGCATGCGCGCGCTGCCGGGTCGCATTCTACTGTGGCAAGGAACACCAGAAACAACATTGGAAACTGCATAAGCCGACCTGCGGGTGCCTCGAGGTGCGTTGTTATCTGAACTAGGTTTGAACTTGAAACCGCGGTGTTAAAGTAGACCATACTCTGGCAACACTCTTGCAGGTACGTGCCGACGAGCGTGTAGGCCGACACATCGTGCACGGTAAAAAGAATGTCTTGAAATCCCAGGAAATTTCTGGGATTTCAAGGTTGGGTGGATAATTTCAAGATTGGCCCTTGAAATCCCAGACTCTGTCTTGAAACCCGTAGCTTCCAAGGGAAATCCTTGGAATTTTCGTCTGGGATTCAAGGATTTTCCTTGAAGTACCCAGATCGTGCCTCAAGGAAAACCCTTGAATACTAGACAAAAATTCCAAGGATTTCCCTTGGAAGCTACGGGTTTCAAGACAGAGTCGGGGATTTCAAGGGCCAATCTTGAAATTATCCACCTGACCTTGAAATCCAAGACATTTCCTCGGATTTCAAGACATTCTTTTTACCGTGTGGCCGTTAAGGACATCCCGATGTGCACTGTCCTCATGAGGGAGCTACCGCTTGTCGTCTATCCTAGACCCGCAACGAATCCGCTTGAACCCAC